TTCTCCCAACAGTTGAATCGACATGCGACTGGTACCCCTCTACAAAAATGATATGTCAGGCACGTGCCTTTGTCCTTCCATTTCGTCTCATTGGCACCTATTGAACCCGAAAGCTACAGCATGTCTTGCAAAGTGTTGTGCCGTGACTCTCTTCAAAGTCAGGTGAGAGTCTGGCAAAGGTTTGGAGGGCAAAAGTTTGGAATGCAGCAGGTCTCGACGTTGAAGCCAGCTTTGCCATTGGTCTCAGTTCAAGGACTTCCCCAATCAAGCAAAAATGAAAGGCAGTGCAATTGCGTCCTGTGCATGTGTGTAGTTGATGGAGATTCGAGCATTCTTTGCAGGCGGAGAGAGAATGGAAGTAGACAGGGGAGGCACGCAGGGAGGAAGCAAGGAAGACATTGTGAGAGCTGATCAAGACGTGTTTATCGAGATTCCAAGGTCTGCCTAGTGCATGTTCTATTGTGGGTCTTTGGTGTTGCTCGACTGGGCCGCGAGGAAGGCAAGCCCTGTGCACAATATCTAAATCCAGAGCGGCTGCAGAGCTCTTGGATGGTAGGGCAAGGATGCTTCCTGGGTTAGGGTTTGCTGTCCCTACCAGTTTCCTGCCTCGGGCCTCGGGATTGGAAAATTCGAGAAGCAACATAAGCAATATGTTCTGTGCACTGCTCGGTGGCAAGCAAACCAGGCACATGCCCGTAAAGTGCACAAGTGTATTTTTGGGGAGATGTCCAGGCTGGCTTCCGTAGATCTCTTTGCAAAGACAAATGTCAAAGCACAAAACGGGTTTGCTGCTGCAAGCAGCTATACTGGGATTTGCATGCCCAAGTTGCAAAATTCTCATGTTGGGTGTACTTTCCCTTCGGACATTCCACCGCTTCCTCCTGGCAGTCAGTAGTGATACCAGCTGATGCTCTGAACCCCACAAAATCAATTTGACGGCAGGGACTGTATTGAATGCGTCTTGAAGAGTTAGTAAACAAGATGGAACCCACAAACCCGAATGCAAACACGATCGAAAAACTAATATGTCCAAAGGACACTCTTGTAGGACACTCTTGCGGGACACTCTTGTAGCACACTCTTGTGGGTCACTTGTAGGAAACTCTTGTGGGACACTCTTGTAGGACACTCTTGTGGGACACTCTTATAGGACACTCTTGTGGGACACTCTTGTGGGACACTCTTGTAGGACACTCTTGTGGGACACTCTTGTAGGACACTCTTGTGGGACACTCTTGTGAGACACTCTTGTAGAACACTCTTGTGGGTCACTTGCAGGACACTCTTGTGGGACACTCTTACACGACACTCTTGTAGGACACTCTTGTGGGACACTCTTGTAGGACACTCTTGTAGGACACTCTTGTCGGAAACTCTTGTGGGACACTCTTGTGGAGGGCACTCTTGTGGGACACTCTTGTGGGACACTCTTGTAGGACACTCCTGTACGACACTCTTGTAGGACACTCTTGTGGGACACTCTGCGGCACACTCTTGTGGGACACTCTTGTGGGACACTCTTCTAGGACACTCTTGTGGGACACTCTTGTAGGACACTCTTGTGGGATACTCCTGTAGGACACTCTTGTGGGACACTCTTGTGGGACACTCTTGTAGGACACTCTTGTGGGATACTCCTGTAGGACACTCTTATAGGACACTCTTGTGGGACACTCTTGCGGGACACTCTTGCAGGACACTCTTGTGGGACACTCTTGTGGGACACTCTTGTGGGACACTCTTGTGAGACACTTTTGTGGGACACTCTTGTGGGTCACTTGCAGGACACTCTTGTGGGACACTCTTAGGAAACTCTTGTGGGGCACTCTTCTAGGACACTCTTGTGGGACACTCTTGTGGGACACTCTTGTAGGACACTCTTGTGGGATACTCCTGTCGGACACTTTTAAGGGACACTCTTAAGGGACGCTCTTGTGAGACACTCTTGAGCGACACTGTTGCGGGACACTCTTGTGGGACACTCTTGTGGCACACTCTTGTGGAACACTCTTGTAGAACACTTTTGTGGGACAGTTTTTCAGGACACTCTTGTGGGACACTCTTGTGGGACACTCTTGTGGGACACTCTTGTGGGACACTCTTGTAGGACACTCTTGTGGGACACTCTTGTGGGACACTCTTGTGTGACACTCTTGTAGGAAACTCTTGTGGGAGACTCTTGTGGGACACTCTTGTGGGACACTCTTATAGGACACTCTTGTAGGACACTCTTGTGGGTCACTCTTGTAGGAGACTCTTGTGGGACACTCTTGTGGGACACTCTGTGGGACACTCTTGTGGGACTCCTTGGGACACTCTTGTAGGATACTCTTGTGGGACAGTCTTGTAGGACACTCTCGTGGGACACTCTTGTGGGACACTCTTGTAGGACACTCTTGTGGGATACTCCTGTAGGACACTCTTAAGGGACACTCTTGTGAGACACTCTAGTGGGACACTGTTGCGGGACACTTGTGGGACTCTCTTCCAGCTCCCCAGATACTCCGCGTACTAAAGTTGTACTACAAGGTCGCCAGTTCTCAGCTTCCAGCTCCCCAGATACTCCACGTACTACAGTTGTACTACAAGGTCGCCAGTTCTCAGCTTCCAGCTCCACAGATTGCTCCGCGTACTCAAGTTGTACTACAAAGTCGCCAGTTCTCAGCTTCCAGCTCCACAAATTGCTCCGCGTACTAAAGTCGTACTACCAAGTCACCAGTTCTCATCTTCCAGCTCCCCAGATACCCCGCGTACTAAAGTTGTACTACAAAGTCGCCAGTGCTCGCCTGCATTTCGCGCGCTCGACGCGCACGATCTCCGCAGAGGGTTGCGCGGGCACCGGACAAATCGCACTCTCGCCTGCATTTCGCGCACTCGACACGCACGA